AAGATCATAATGAACAACTTTCATGTTGGCCAAAAGTTCAGGTGAAACCTCCTTCTAGGTCAAAAATAGCTTTGAAGTCAGATGATTTTCACAGACAAATTTCAGATGCATCTGAGGACCTGTAACTTATCTGGACCATAACTTGAGTTCTATAAATCCAATGGAGGACTTCTAGTACTCAAATTAAAGCTAAGAGAATCCTCTACAACATTCATGTGAAGGCCAAAGTAATATGAGACTTGTATCTTGACTTACATGGCTTGGAAGTTTGGCACTAAATAGGAGATTTTACCCTAGGAACCCTGACTTAGCAACTCCAACCACTCTTGATTCTTCTCAACTTGATCTTGAAACCATCTCTCATATGCCTTAACATATCATTTCATGATTTCAATGACCTAGAAGTAGGCTTTGATCTTCTTCAATTGCTCATTTTGGCCTAGGATTAACCAGATGAAACCCTAGTGACATCCACTTCAACTGTGGCTCTTGCACTTGATAAAATGACTTGATTGAGCCCCAACATGACCTCCAAGGCACTTAAATGAGCTCTACTCGCACATTCTCTCCTTAATCAAGGCATTACAATCCACTACTGATCTTCAACTAGCTCCAAGTGAGGAGGTGAGCCCCATACAAGCATTCAAACTCCTCAAGAACTCAACCATCTGCCTGATGACGCTGATAACTTCTTAAGCTTGAATATTACCTCTGGTTAGGCTTCTCTAGACATGTATCACACTTGATCCCCTGTTAAATGAAGGATGCTATGCTATGCAAATGCTAGAACTATGTTAGAACAATGTTATGATATGCAATGAAACATAAACCAAGTGGTAAAAAGGTTAGGCAAATTTTGGGGTGCAACAGGATGTCCTGACCAGACTTCTTTAGGTGTCTTCATTACCAACGCAGTCGAGGGACACCTATTTATTAGGTATGCTGTAATCACATCACGTCTGTCCAAAACACCTTCTTCAATCTTGTGCTAATCAACATGCATCTAACCCTTTCTAGAATGGTTTCATTAAACCTTTAAGCCAAACCATTTTGTTGGGGAGTACCTACAGTAGTTATGTGCCTTATAATACCAGAAGCAACAATATTTGTCGAAAGGCTCATTGCAAAATTCAAGACCATTGTCAATTCTCAACCTCTTGAACTCCTTGCTAGTATGGTTTTCGACCAGACTCTTCAAAATTTTGAAATTTGCAAAAGTTCCATCCTTAGTTTTCTGAATGAATATCCAAATCTTTCATGAGTAATCATCAACTATGGATAGAAAATATCTTTCACCTGAGTGTGAAATATTTCTTGAAGACCCCCAAAGATCAACATGGATATAATCAAGGGATCCATGTGTTCTTTGCTTACCTTTGTTAAACTTCACCCTACCGAATTTACTAAATACACAAGGTTCACAAAACTCTAGTTTTTCGACCTTGTCACCACATGGCATTTTTTTTTGACAATTCGAACATGCCTCTTTCACTGACATGTTCAAGTATCTTGTGCCATAGCTCAGTATTCAACACAGGTTTCGTGGATGCCACATCTACTGAACCACTTACAACCCCAGCCTCAAGGTTATACATGCCTTCCTCTTAATTCCTCTTAAGACTTTCTTCGTCCCCTTCATTACCCTTAGGATACTTTTCCCTCCTTCGAAAACATGTTCTTTCTTGTCGAATTCACCAAGAGAAATCAAATTTCTCTTAATTTTACATACATACCTAACATTAGGCAATAGCTTTATTGACTCATCATGGAGTTTGAATGTCACATATCCAATACTTGCAATCTTACAGGCTTAGATGTTTTCTAGCAGCACTGATCCACCATTTTGATCACATAATTCTTCAAACACGTCCTTGTTTGGAGTCATGTGCCAAGTAAAATTGGAATCCATAATCCGCTCATTTCGATAGTCGATGCTTGAAACCACCAAGATATCATATGATTCATAATCATCTTGCACAATGGTTGCATTACTATTATCCTTTCCACCTTACGTGATTGCTCAGACGTTCAAGACACACCTTTCTATATGTACGTTCTTCTTACAATGATAACACCTAATTGCAGGAGCATTACCACCATAAAATTTTTGTAAAACTTTACCCTTCTTCCTCACAAATCTACCCTCTTTCTTTGTGAATTTTCCTTTTACAGACAATCCTTCACCAATAGTAGATATTTTATGCTCTTTCCTTTTGTTCAAATCCTTCAAATACAGAGTTGATTAAACTTCTTCAAAGGCCATAGAATCTCTTCCATACAAGAGGGACTCTTTGAAGTGAGCATGAGATCTTGGTAAAGCACACAACAACGACAACATTTGATCTTTATCATCAGCTCTGACCTTGATATTTTCAAGATCAATAATTAACTTGTTGAACATATCCAACTGCTCAGCCAAGACTTTGTCTTCACTCATATTGAATGAATAAAAAGTTTGCTTCAAGTAGAGACGATTGACCAGAGAATTGGTCATATACAAACCCTCAAGTTTGCTTCACACACCTATTGCCGTCTTCTCCTTCGAGACCTGTCGGAGAACCTTATCACCAAGGCTCAATATGATTGCACTGTGGGCTCTCTCGATTATCGTCGTCTTCTCCTTCTCCTTCTTCATTAGGGAAACACCCATCTTCTCTGACCCTTTTAACACTTCTAACAAACCCTATTGAACTAGTAGAGCTTGCATCTTCAAACGCCACTGACCGAGATCATTCAGTACACTAGTAAAAAAAATTAATTTCATACTTTGTTGTCGATATCTTCTTCTTCACGCTCACCACGCCAATTTGTTATGAAATAATCCAAGAAAATATAGTATGATCGGTTTCATGATTAACAAGAAAACCACAAAGGAAAAGAAAAGAGAGAAGAGAAGAGAAAGACAATTTAAAGTGGTTTAAAAATTGGATTCTTAATTCAATTACACATTAGAGAACAATGTTTATAATTGAATATCAACCACGCAACTTTCTCCCTCTGATTAGGATTATCCGGGATTGATGGAGAAGTGGAAACTAATATACTATTTATAAAAAAATTAAACTCTAATTTTCGACTAACATTCTAAATAATTGGTCCAACAAGCTGACCAAATCGAACATGCTAACTTAATCAACAAGATAACATATTTCAAAAGTTATACTATCTCTTCGACTTCGACAAAATTTACTACAACACTAACTTATAACTCATAAATTATATTTATGATAATTTGTTGAATACATGCACTACATAGACTACTTATACATTTTAATAATACTGCATTATATTTTCACTGGATTATTTTTACTAGTGCATATATATCATAAATATAATACATATAGAGTTTTCAAAAATGACCCATCGTAATATATGCATTTTTAGTGTATTATACTATATTTTTCTCATTTATATACATGTGTTAATTGTATATTATTTACAAATTTTACTCCATTTTATATGTGAAATTAGACTTCGAATAATAAATTTGTTTTTTTTATAACATGTTAAGTGATTTCTTTATTAGTAATAAAATTATTTATACTATTGTACCAATACCATATTTATTTAACTATTTCCTGAACTTAAAAGTCCTAATACCTTGATTTTTTGCTTTGTTTCGGTAAATTTTGATTTGGTTAACTGTGATTCGATTCGATTATTTTAAACTGTTTAATAAACAGTAGTTCGGTTCATGAACTAAAGGTAATAATTTGGTTATTTAACAACAATTCGGTTCGGTTTTTTGATTCCGTACAATTTTATGAATTTTTTTAGCAGACCTGATTCATAACATCTTCAAAGACACTAACTGGACTATCCTCAAAACTAGCTAGAAATAATCCAACAAAAGGGTGTCCAAAAGCTTTTCAAATGTATGCAGCGGGTTGTGGCTCGTGTTGGTGATGTGGGAAATAAATTGCACCTCATAGTTGGGGGACATTTCCTTCCATGGTTTTGGCAAAGAATTCATGTAACTTGCAGGCTCTATGTCCTTACACTCCGTAATGCCTTGTCATGGTAACTACTAGCTAATAACTCAGTCAGGGATGGATTCAGAAATCTTGACCAGTGAAAATAAAATATATATAAATATTTATATAAAAAATATATCAACGTGCATGAAACTATTTATTATTGTGTAAAAAAATTAAAACTATCAAAATTTTATTATTCTATATTTAAAAAAAATCAAAAATACTTAAACATATAAATTTTTTTTTATAAATAATTCTATTTTAAAATTATTGAATAATTTTTTTTGTTTTTATTTTTAATATCTATCAAAACAACTATTTAATTATTTAAAATTTTTTAGTTCTTAAAATATACAAATACTAATTTTTTTAGTGGAGACATTTCTTATGTTTTATCACAAATAAATATTTTAAATTAATTTTTAATAGCACAAATAATTTAGTGGAGGCAGTTGTCTCCGATACATAGCATATAGATCCGTGCACGTGTACAGGGATGCTAATTGAACAACACAATAAATCCATCATTCATTTTCTAAATTGCTGATAATAGCAATGTTGGTGCTCCATTATAATTTTCTTTTCCTTTCCCCATACCTCTAATAAACAAGAATTGAGGTAAGAGGAAGAATAATATGAGTAAAACATTAAGAGACAGTCAGTATAGCAAGAATATATAAAGATAGATGTTGAACTATAGAGGCAAAGTCTTGTATTTTTCATTGCAAAAATAATACCAATTAGTGTATCATATATATCTCTTGAACTTGTTTACATTTGATGTAACTATACTTTCAACAAACAGATCCTAAATAGTTAAACACAAAAAGTTCCACTAATGCACTATGTCCTATTCTGTAAGTGACAACTTGATAACAAAAATGAACTATCATATATGTCAAGATCTAGCAGCAAGTAGCCATTGCAAATAGTTTCAGCCTGGCTAATTAAGTTGATTGTCAAACACCACAACCCTCAAAATTTGTTGTGAAGCCTGAAAAAGTTCTTTAAATTCACACGTTATCACGTTTCTTCGAAGTAACTAGTCGGCACCTCTAGCGGAGAAGGCAAATTGGCCACACATTTGAACTGTTCCAAACAATGATTTCAAGTCAATCAACTTGCAATAATAAGAATTACCTATAACAAAAGAAAACATCGAAAAATCAAATAATCAATCACCTTTTTTTTAATGTATTTGTTGCGAAGAGTTTTCAAGGATGTTGCCCTTCTTAAAAAGTACAAGTCATATAAAATAACAACACATTCCTTCAACTCAGATGACTTGTAACCCAAGCATTCATACAAGGATGGTGTCTGCATTAGATTATCGACATTAAGTACACTGAAAACTCATGTTTTTTAATGAATCAAACTGATTAAATACCATAACATGAAAAATTTACCCAAGAATGTACTTCTGGTTGAATAATAAATCTAGCGAGAAATATAACCGATGCGGCCACAATAGAAGGCAAGAATCTTATACACTCATAGTCCAACAAGCTTAGATCAGCAAGATAGTTGCACAGATATTCAAACTGTAAATTCAAATTCTACAATTAAAAACAAACATAACAACAATTAATAAACATAATAAAAACTTTTGACATCACCGACTAATAAATAAATATAGTTCAACTTACCTTTTGATTCCCACATGCAAGTTCAACAAACCTCCTGATATGAGTATGAAACAAAACAAACACAAATAAACAATAATCAATACAATTAACTTTAGATGTTCAGATTGTTAGAATAAAAAAATGTGCTTACTTTAGAAATGTGGTAACATTAGGGTTTCCCATTTCATAATTTAGTGACTTGAGTATGTCAATTTCCATCTTTAAAACCTAAAGTAACAGCAACATACATGAGAAACAGAAACAAAACGACACCAAAATAAATAAACTAACTAACTCAAACAACAAAATCTAGTTCCATAGAAAAGAAAAGGATATTTACCTCCGAAAGGTCATAATTGTTATCAGCAATTTTGCAGAAAGTCGCCGCGTTTGGTGGTGTGATTTCTTCATACTTACTGTATATTAAAAACGAGTCAAAACTTGTGCGATGCTTAAGAAAACAACTTGACAACATCGATAAATAACAAAACTAAAACAGTTTTGGGGGGCTTACGATGCAATGAGCATAGATGAAACACCAACCAACCGAAGATTTGTTTCGCTAACGGATTTCAGAGATAAGAATCTGTCAATGTAGGAGATACATAGATGGAGGGTTTCAGGAAGAAGCTTGTACTTGTCTGCAACCTTCACTAACCAATCCACCAATGTCCCCCTCATGTTTGTAGTAACCTCTCTCTGAACATTCTCAATGTAGCCCACCATTGGTCTCCGCGTTTTCTACGGTCAAGAAATTAAGCAATGTGAGTATTTAAATACCATGACAGTGCCAATTTGAATGGAATAAATATGTATTACTATTACCTCGGTTGTTCGATGATAATCATCAATGTCGGATACATAAGGTTTAATGATTTGTCGGTGATCACATTCGACATTAGTTTTGTTATAAATAGGTTTATCCAAATTGGAATTACGAAGGAAAGGAAGCAATGTTGTTGTTGGTCTTTTAAGGTTAGGGTTTATCTGAGATTGGAGTGTTTGTCTAGTTTGATAAACACGAACATTGAGATCGGGAATTTCAGAGAAAAGTACCCTCCGCCGTTTGGGAACAACGAGTTGTAGATTTTGTTTGGTGTTAGCTCTCTTCTTTGAAGCACGAGTCTCCATCATCTCTCTATTGTGATGAAGTTCAGTATTGTTTTTTTTCTTGTTTTATAGGAAAGTAACAAAGTGCCTATTTTATAGGAATGTAACAGAGTTTAGTTTTGTACTGTTAGATTTAGATTTTTTTGTTTTTTTTTTGGGATTTGGATTTGTTTCTTTTTTTATTTTAATTTTATAAAAAAAAATACCTAGGTTTGGTTCAGAAGGGTAACGAAATTTTAAGTTAAACAAACTAATAAAGTAATTTAGTAAAATATGCATATTGAATAATTTATGCAAGTCCAAAAACGTTGACTTCAACAATCCAAACAAACTGTGTACTATTTTTTAGTAGATTAGGATATCAAAATTCTTTTGAAATCGAGTCAAACCGGTCTGCGAACCGTTTATGATTTTTTTTACCTTTTTTCCTTTTAAAACTTTAACTTTTGTTTTATTTTTTTGATGTTTTGTTTTTTATCAAAAAAAAATATGATTTATTTTACCAAAATAATTTTTTTTAATTGGGCTTTGAATCAAACATTAGATGGGCTTTTTGTATATTTATGGTAGGAGAATTTCTTAATGTATCTTAAGTCAATAAAAATCTGACTTAATGTGAAAAAATTACGGAGATGCATCTTCGGACGTTGTTTGTATATAACGCGTCAGAACCCTTATTTTTCCTCACTTGTTATAAAAACATTTTTTTCTCTAAAACTCTCTTAAAATCACATAACCTCAAAATCAATCTAGCAACATCAAAGTTTCTTCAGTCAACACCAACTACATCAAAAAGTTCATTCAACTAGGTATTTAATTACATAGTTTATGCATGTTTGATAGTTGATACATTATGAGAAATGTGTTTCATAGTTAAAAGTAATTATCAACGCATTATTTTTGGGGTCTTGGTGGTTTGCGTTAGCGCCATTGACGGAAATGAAAGTTGCAGAAAAATCTGGAGATGCATCTCCGTATTTTTTTCAGCATTTGGATTCCCAAGAACTGGAAATGTGTCACTCTGTATTTTATCAGTTTGTATTTTTTGTTTTTCTTGCTTGTAGGGTTGCTTGTCGTAATTGTGTGACACTTATCTGGTTTACTTAAATGCATTATAGATTATAGAGATGACAAATTGAGGCACGACAGAATTGTACAACATGCATCTGTCAGGAGAGAAAAGAGTCAGGTTTTGCAGGCTCCTGTTTCCTCTAGCCTGGTTGATGCAGAGGCGTCGACTTCTAGGGTCATATATCTTCACATTCTTCTTACCGTAGGAAACGGGTGTCACCTAGTGACGCATCACTGCCTTCATCTTCTCGTAGGCGATATGTTTCACCTAATCAGTCACTGGAGGTACCTCAATAAATATAAGAACCAATGCCACCCCAAGCACCAGAGGGACCTCAGGCTAATGAGGCCGATGAGCCAGTGTCACCTCAGGTATTTGAAAGAGGCACGTTAAAGTTGTCACTACTGCCTCTTTCCTCAAACTATACTGCCAGACATGTTTGGGACCGAGAGGTGAAATTAGTTGGATTTATTCTTTTTAAATTACATTTATTATTATATTACAAGTTTCCGACAATAATTTATTTTTCTACAAGACTGTGATCTGTGATCCAGTGAAATTCATTAACCATGAAAGGAAGATTATTGGCTTGCATTAGCCTGCTGACGAAAGTTGCTTTGCAAATATCTGTGATGAAGTACTTATGCAACACTTTTTAGGCTTGGATTCTCCAACACTTCCCACGCATATCCGGCTGGCCGTGTATGCCGACCTATTTTGCATTTGCCCCGCTCAGAAGGAACCAGGCGCCAAAGTCATTTCGAGTGTATCTTGACCACTTGGTAGCAGATGATATTCACTTTAACACATATGTCAATCACCGTGAGACGCGGACATTTGACAACATTGTCTTATACTTGGGATTATTGGCTTGCGGTTAACATCTGACATTTCTTTATCTTCCTGAACATGCCATGCGACAGTTCGACTACACCCAGATTATTCTCAGACTCTTGTTGTCTCTGCTCCTCCCTCTATGACACGTAGAGATATGGATGTCATGTTTGATGATCATCTTAGTCATCTGGTATTGGAGGAAACATGAAGTACCATAGCTGAGAACGATTGGAGATATATTGACGGGTACATCAGGTGATTCTTCAGGGTGTCACATCCATATATGGTGTGTGCTTCTCCAAGAGATCCACCGAGGTAATCTCATCATGAGATACTATAAAAGGAACATGCTAGGTTAGATCATTCTTATGATGTGTTGCCTGGATGTCGCGTATTATGGAGATTGTGCATGAAGGTATTGACAGATATATCTTTCTTGATGGTTATGAGGTGAGGGATGTCCTATATGTCATTATGACAGATACATGAGAAACAATGATGTACTAGAGACAACGTCAGAGCATTGAGGTAAAGGAGTCTGAGGAGCTCGAGTCCGGCATATGCAGTAGTTACTAGTATTTTTAGTTTAGGTTTATGCTCAATTGTATTTTTTTTACTTATTTCAACTTCATTGTATATTTCAAATATATTGTGTATGTCATGATGTCTTATTTTGACTTCGAATTTATATATGTCATTTTTTGCATATCATTTGTATGGTTTAATGTTCATCACATAACAGTAGCCTTAACATTTATAAGTCATCATTTTCACGAGAGTAACCATAAAACTAACTTAAATGTTTAAAATGGGCCTTTCATAGAGGGAGATGCATCTCTGGATCAATAAATGTTTAAAATGGGCCTTTCATAGAGGGATGCATGGGGTATGTTTTGAAATATTTAGGAGATGCATTTCTGGATTCGTGTTTACCAAATATGTTGGTGTGACTTAGTGGAATGCATGGGGGTGTGCTTTAAAATATTTTGGAGATGCATCTCCGGATCAGTTGTAACATTTTGACTTAAGACAATGGTGCGTCCAGATATGCATCTCAGGAATTTAAGGGGTATTTTGGATTTTCCATAAAGTGTTTTTCCACCCTATAAGGTGGGATAAGAAATAGAGTGCACCACATTGTTGTTGTTTCTCAGCATGTGATAAAAATATATATATTTGAAAGGCTTAATGCATATTTTGGTCCTTTAACTTAATTTAAGATTTCATTTTAGTCCCTTATTTAATAAAAGTTTGTTCTAAGTCCCTTAAATGCCATTTCATTAGTCACATTTGTCATGTATGTTAAATTTTGTCAAATTTCGTTAAGTTGTGTGTGGGTGGCAGTCTAACTGGTACTAAATTAGATGACATAAATTTCTTTTATTTTATATTGATTTAAATTTTAAAATTTAAAAACAAAAGAAGCAAAAAAAAATATTTTCATTTTCAGTATAAAATTTAAAAACAAAAGAAACTGAAACATACAATGTATAAAGAAATCTTACTCTCTCTTCCTCAAACCCAAACTTTCACCCCTCTCTCTCTCTCTCTCTCTCTCTCTCTCTCTCTCTCTCTCTCTCTCTCTCTCTCTCTCTCTCTCTCTCTCTCTCTATCTATCTATCTATCTCTCTCTATCTATCTATCTATCTATCTATCTATCTATCTATCTATCTATCTATCTATCTATCTATCTATCTATCTATCTATCTATCTATCTATCACACACACACACACACACACACACACACACACACACACACACACACACTTGATTTTGTTGACATTTTGAACAACCATCCCAATCTGCTCAAGTTTGATGAGTTAGGATCCACTTCATTTGCACATTGCTACAACAATTATTTCTTTTTATTTTTCTATCTTCCTTCATCTTCCTCCTTTCACCATTATCATTACAAGTCCATATTTTTTCTTTAAAATCTACAACAAAATACTATTAAATCTCATGGCTATGAGGTCAGAATCATATTGTGCACTGGTTTTGTGAGAGTTAGATCTAAAACAAGGCAGTGTTAGAGTTTTGATCGAGCAAGGTGGAAAAGAGATGCAAAATGAAATATGTAGTTGGAAAAGAGAACAATGTTAATTATGATTTTTTGATGGGAAAGGTAGCATTAGCGTTCCAATTGAGTGAGGTGGTGCTATGACTAATTTCATTTTTGTTTTCAATGCTACCCGATTGAGTTGAAATAAGGATGATATTTTCCTCTGCTCAAGTGTGTGAGGGTGAGATAATGGATAAGGATCAATAGTGAGTTGTGATGAGCTATTGGAGAGGATTGAAAATAATCCCTCAAATGGTGGGGTTGAAGAGTGAGTGGAGAGGAAAACGAGTACTAACCATGTGCCAACACCTTTGAAATTTTGCAAATTGATTTTTATTGTTGTAAAAATTTGATTTTGAAAAAAAAAGCCCTCTTGTTTTTTATGTTACTTGTTTTAATTACTATAGTGAAATTTTCAAGAAAATGCACTCCCATTTTTTCTTACTTGATTTTTATTGATGTACTGACAAGTTTTACAAACAAACAACCCTTGGCTTTTTGCTACTGCATAATAGTTGTAATTATGGTACCATGGTTTGTAAATTGTTGTATCGCATTATTGATTTGAATGCCAATGGCCTTGGTTGTGATTGTTGTAGTAATGATTTTTGCAATGAGAATTTGATATAAAGCTATTAATTAACTTGAATCACAAATCTTTGAAATTCACCATCGAACTTTGATTTATCCAAAGGAAAATGGTAAAGATCGAAGAAAACCCTAAGTGAGCTATGTAACAACAAAGCTAAGAGAATCTAAGGTTTGGGGGTTTTTTATACCTAGGGAAGGTGTTAACATCCTAAGTATCTGTAGTACTCTACAGGAACCTCTTGTTAGTATTTGTGTTATATTAAAGTTGTTTGCTAAGGGAACTGTGCTAAGATAAAGACCTAGGGTATGCACACTAAGTATGCTCACCAAGACACCGCGTCTCGTGCCTGCATATCCTAACTAGGATGGAATCAGAGCATTCGTAGTTCACCTCACTAGAGATAAGGAACTCTTGATAATGATCAAGGTTCCTAGGGGAATGAGTGTTCATGACGATG